CGAAAATACATACGTAAGTACAATTTGAATATTATTCGCAAATTTGGAGTACAAAAATGTCGATCTATTTACAATCATATCTCAATTTTCATATTAACAATGTTTCCTCACTCTATGTATGGACGGGTCACCGTTTGATATTTAACTTAATTTAAATTTTTTTTAGTATTTTCTGTTCAAACATAAATTATATTTATTTTATTGTAAGTACATATATGTACTTTTATATTATATCTCATAAGTATTTTAAGTTCCTAGATATTAATATAAATAATTTACATAAATTTGTAACATAATGTACAAATAATAATCTTAATCTATCAAAAGTCATTACTTGTATATTTATCCATATTACAAAGACAATACAAGAATATAAACTATCATATACATATACAGTATGTACTATTCAATTATATACTGTTTTTCCTTATCCCTACCAAGTGTTATGTGTTCCTTGTACATGTAGCATGTTGTTCATGGTACCTGTCATGTAGTGCATGTAATCTCGCTCGAGGTATCATGAGGGCTGGCGGCGGGGGAGGGGAGTGTCCGGGAGGCTCCGGGGCCTGCTTACTGTGATGTACACCGGGACTACAATAGAATAGAATACAACTAAAACATACATACATATAGAATACACACTTCATATACTCCGAGGATGATTCAACATTCAAGTTACACAAGAAGCTTCACATGAAACATTAATTAGTTTAAATTGTATTTGTAATAAATATGAGATCGACTCTCTGTCTAAGATATGGAGGATGAAAATTTTGTCTAATCAAGTGAGGTCATAAATAATGAGTTATTAAAAACAACTGGGAGCTAAGAAATATCGTGTAAGAATTCTTGTGGTGACTATTGAATATTTAATACATCAGATTTTTTTCTTACTTTTGATGGTACATCAGGCAGTGAAGCATTCTGTATGCTACAAGTCTGCTTCATTTCTTTCAGCAATCAATGCTCGTCTATCAGCTCTTTGCTTTGATGGAATGTTGCCCTGGAAGAGAAATTTATATTGAATTTATACTATAACTAACGATCTTCTACCTGGAAACTTTCTCAGCTTTAGCCAGGGTCTGCCTTACATGTTGTGAATAGTTTTGGCTAATTGTTCTTACGACCGGCCGCCTGCCTGACATCAACCTCTTTGGGAATGCATTAATTAGTGATGTCTAAATACTCTTAGAAAGTACATATGACTCGGAAAAATCACATTGGTACTTGCCAGGGCCAGGATCCACGCACTCGTGCATGAGAGGCGGGCCTTTTAACCACTTTTAACTGAGGATTTTGTTACAAATTTAGTACATATAGCTACTATAATTTTTGCAAAATGTTTTGTATTACATTATAGATAAATTCCCTGATGTAAACTTGGCATTCCCTGCATGCAACCAATAACAAACGTTTGATTCGAAGGATTCTTCTGACTGCAGCATCTTTTCGAGGCCCAGATGGTCACCACTATGATAATCAGAGCTCCTACTACGGTGAATGTTATTAATACAGCTGAAAATGAAACACATTCAATATAAGTTTTATGTTAAATTACATGACATTTGGCATAAAAAAACCATTCTGATCTAAATGCTGGTGTTGATCAAGTTATTCCTTTATGGATAGGTAATATTATAATCATAATTTTTTTTAAATAAGCAACACTTTTAAGAGATAGTGAATAGTAGTAGTTCTGTATATTATATGGATATATTGAACCCTGTGGTACACTTTATAGTGTAGACTGTAGTCGTTCCAGATAACTCAAGTCTCATATGTCTCTATTTACCTTTCAAATTGACTTGACAAGTTCGTCCCGCGTACCACTTGAAACATTCACATATCATCGCGTTCTCACGATCGAAGCAGGTACCATGATAGTTGCAACCCGCACAGCCTATTGCGTCAGCTGAGTTTTTATTGAAAATTACAATTTAAAACATAATCGTGTCATTATCTGTACAATTTTTATTATCATTGGAAATCTTAAAACGCTTTCAAAGTCAAATTATATATAAGGGTTATGTTTTGATGTCTAAAATACCATCATAATATTTCGTGCTACAGCGTAGCAAATGAAATCTACTTACAAGAGCATATCCTTCCAGGGTATAGAGTGTCGACGCTAAGGTCTGCAAAACCTTCTAAACAACTACAAGCGCAAGTTCCACGAAGATTGATACAGCGTGAGTGTTCGGATCAGTCATTGAACTGACTACTCGTGCATTCGTTGAAATCTGAAAAAATTCAAATGCTTCTTAGATTTTTATAGTATATAAGTAACAGTGGCGTGCATGATAAAAAACGAGAAGTAATCAGAAAATATTAATTTAAATTAAATATTGATAAAATTCGCGCAAAATGGTAGGGACAGCAGTCCTATCAGAACGAACATCTATATTATACTTTATGAACCTCTCAACTACCTTTGAGCCACGAAAGTACATACAATAAAACGATTACGATCTGTTCACCACAGCTTTAAGTTGTTTAAATAAGGAATATCCAAAACAATAACATATATTCTTATTATTACCGTTGAAAATAAGAAACAAGGCAAACAAAATAACTCATTTGTGTGTACACAACCTGCTAACTAATTAAAACAATAACATTACCTTTCTTTTAGTTCAAACTCAACTGGTCACACACCTTGACTTTACTCTTATTTTAATTTTATTACCAAAAGGCCAATATTGAAAATCTACTCGTAACTAATTTCAATAAACACATATCACCAGCACAGAGCTCACAGCTATAATTTTACACAATTCGTTAATAAATTAATCCACTGTTTACTAATTAAAACTTATTCACTTGCGCTTAGAAGTTAGAAAGACAAATAACAATATTCAAAAATAATAAAATGGCGAAAAAATATATGAACAGTTTACCGACCAATCAGAGCGTCCCGTTTCATTTGACAATTAACGAACGAACGAAGTTTCGTTTTAACATTGATAGATGGCACTTATTAACAAATCATAAATCAAATATCGTCTTAAATATCTGTTAACATTTGTAATTCGTAATGTATGATTAAAAATATGTAAGTAAGAATTTAAAAATATAGGTTTAGTTGTTATATGCGTAGGATATGCAGTGCTTATTTGCATCTATGTTTGCACGCCACTGAGTAATAAGACAGCCAAAATTGTGGTTGTTGTAAATGTTCTGTATTTATAATTAACTGACTCGAGAGTGTTCACTTACCACTGACATTAAGGCTCTCAATAAATTCTTCAGATGCATAAATTTTTGTTCCACCAAGGCTATAATTATTATTCCGTAGATATTTCTCTATAATTTCCTTCAGTCTGCTTTCATGAGCGTTATTGGAAAGCTAAAGAAAAATTCATTTAAAATAAGCTGCAAAGAACATATTTCAAGTCTTTACTGAATGGTTACCTGAACGTAGAAATCATTGATAACTCCCTCATATGCACCGTCTTTTGTTCTCATCTCAATAGGATGGAATCCTGTTATGTGGACTCCGTGATAAACATCCCGTAAGTCTGATTGCATTATCATTCTATTTATTCCTTCATGAGTAGCCAATGACAAACTCTCATAATCTTTTGTAGAATTGTCCGATAAATTCTTATGGAATTTGAGCACCTTCCTTATTGTTTCTAGATCCTAGATCCTAATCTTACTGAGTACGTGTATGTTGCTAAAATTGAGCATATTTAAAATATTATGTTGAAATAGTTAAAATACTAACAGGTTGTTTATTTTTAGTATAATAGAAAATATAATATCTTACGTTTACACGGTCGATCTGTCATCTGGGAACATTCAATCGAAACCTGGTCTACACACGCACTCCATAACACCATCGATCCTTTGGCATCTTTCATTTCTCGAAGCTTTACAATCTGGTTGACATTCTTTACCATATCCTATATGAGTGAAAATTAATTCATTAAAACATATTATGGCATAATAAGTTCCGCGAAAACTTCATTCGCGATTCATTCTGAAGGAATTTATATTTAATCTATAGGATACTAATATTATAAAGCTGAAGAGTTTGTTTGTTTGAAAGCGCTAATCTCCGAAACTACTGGTTCGAATTGAATAATTATTTTTGTGTTGGATAGTCCAGTTATCGAGGAAGGCTGTGGGCTATATAACATCACGCTACGACCAATAGGAGCAAAGATATAGTGGTAAATGTTTAAAAAACGGGAGAAATTATTTCATCTTTGAAGCCTTCCCTTGCGTGCGCCGTGAAAACGGTTCAAGATACACAAAAAATATGTATTAAAGAATAATATGTAGCAGTTTTAATAATCTAAAAAACAGTTCGCGACAATATATGTCTATCTTTTAAGATTAACTCACAAAAACCGTTTTTATGGTACCTAATTTGGTCGAAGTAATTTGTTTAAGTACTCATTTAAATGAAACTAATATTTTCAGATTTTACTTCGCGTTTTTTATTTTTGATTACGAACTACATACTCCCGACGTTTCGGCTACTTTTCAGCAACCGTGGTCACGGGCAGACGAGATGTCGTCCGTCTCGAAAAACCGAAAATATTAGTTTCCTTTGTTGTATTAAGTATTGTAGACAGAGAATTAATGTTTATTTTAATTAAGGGAGCGTTCAAGTATTACGTAACGCGACTTGGGGGGAGGGGGGGGTCTCGTAAAACGTTATGATGCGTTACAGGGGCGGGAGGGGGTGTCTCTTACAAAACGTTACGTAACATTGTTTATTTTTTTAAATAAAAATTAGGGAATTAAAACTCCAAAATTGGCCCTTTTCACTTACGTTTTACGGGGAATCCCTTGATTGTATTAGTCTGGTAGTCATTTTTGATTTGTTCTCGCAAGTTGGCAAACCTTTTGTTTATATTTCACGGGGAATCCCTAGATTGTATTGTACGTCATTTATTGTTGTTCTCATTGTCAGTATTCGTTAGTGTTTATGCAGAAGCACATTGCTATAGTCGGTGTTATTAAAGTGAGTTTAAAGTGTTCATACTATAATGTGCTCAAAAGAGGGAGATTTATATCATCAGCTGTTCTTAGCTTATAAAGGCTCTCATGCTGACTTGCCAGCGCAACTGTGTCAAAAAAATGCCAACGCAATTTGGAAAACGGCTAAAGAAACACTAAAAAATAAAGAGAAATTTATAGAACATATAAATGATGCTATACGAGAGTTGAATGTGAAGGCCACGAAGAAGAAAGCAACAATGCTTAGTTATTTTACACAGGTAAGTTTACTACTAAAATGTAATAATGACATAAGTATTATAATTAGGGCCCGGATAAATATGTATTAAAAAATCTAAAATATGTACAAAAATATGGACGAAAAGACGAGTATAAAATTAAATACTTTCATAATTAAACATTGTTTTACTATAAGAAAAGGGTCATTCGTGACGTACATCGTTAAGTTACATTTTAAAAAACGATGAAAAAATGTAGCGAAATATTTATTTCAACAAAAAATAACAGTTTTATTCAACTTCCACTACACTAGCCTTATCAAATTGGTTGCAATACACAATGACGTGCTTCTTTAAATTATCAAAATGAAAACTGACCATTTGGTCGACATATAGCATTATATCTGCTGATTGGTCTCATCTCAAGTCACATGACGTGATGGGTACATACTTAAACATGCTTAATTCAGTAATTGTGTGAGTCATGTCTACAGCCCTCGAAACTTTCGCACAGAATTTTGTTAATTTTTTTAGCGTATTAAATCCTTTATTTTTACCCAAAATATTAGTGGCAGGAACGTAAATTTTATGTATTTTTGTGAATATATGGATGATTGTGACATTTTCTTGTATAATATGGACTTAACTTTGAAATATGGTAAAATATGGAAAATAAAAGTTGGTTTTTCACAGTCTAAATATGACAATTCATGTAAAAAGACACATTCTAGATCGAAAATCAAGTAAATTAAAAATATGTATTTACATATTAATCCGGGCCCTAATTATAATATATTATCCAAACCTTAATTTTTCATAAAAGAACTGATCATAAGTATTATATATTTTTTTAGCTACCTATGAAAACATCAAGCACGCCAGCAACACCGAAGCCCAATGTTTCCTCGATTTCGCATGCTCTTCAACAAAAACAGGTGTATCTACTTGTATATATTGTGTATTATGGTTTTTTTTTATCGCATGTGTCAATAATACCTAATCTCAATTAATTTTCTCTTGGTCTATAGGATTCGGATGTAGCCACGTGTTCATCTTTTATGAAATCGGTTGACGCAGTCGCTGGACAAGAAAGGACTGCCGTCAAACGAAAGATGAGCGATACCCACGATGAGCAAAGTTGGAATACTATAGAGGAAACCGCGGAGACAACGTCTACGGAACCACACACGATTTTGATTGATTCGGGCATCACTAAAAATGTTCCAGGCAAACCGGCTCAAGAAACTCTTGTGAAGAAAATTGGTCTACTGCAACAAAGAATAAACGTTCTTACTGAAGCAAGGGACATTGGTATAGCCAAAGATGATGTTCACGACGAAATAAAAAAGCTACGCAACGAGTTGAAAGAAGAAGAGAAACGTTTAAAGAAAAAAAGAGACTCTGCTAAGCGTGCAAAAAAATTTCGAGCCAAAGAAAAACTGGAGAAAATTGAACGTCAAAGAAACACTCCTGCTGCAACACAAACTCGAACTGGCCCTGGACAGCCCCCTTTAGTTGACTCGCAACCTGCTCTCCTAGAGACCATCATTAATATTGCCATTCATGGCAGCGCTGCTGATGAACGTCGCCGAACAGAGATGATTAGGAGTTGTCTCACTCTATCCGACCTGCATGAGAGGCTATTGTTAATGGGATACCAAATTTCTCGAAGCGGCACCTATCTTCATTTACTCCCACGCGTTTCTAACACTCAAGAGGGAAGAAGACACGTACATACCGTACCCGTAAAGTTAGCAAGACCACAGACTGAGATGCACAGAAAGCATGAGGACGGGGAATTTTGCACCGCTACAATCAGGTCATTGGAATCTCTCGCGTCGCTTCTGGGACCGCAGCAAGTATTCGTTCTCTCACAAGACGATAAGGCACGTGTACCCATTGGTTTACCAGCAGTGAAAAGTCAGAGTCCTCTTTTAATGCATATGGAATACAGAATACTTTTACCTGATCATGACTGGGTCGTGGCAGAGCGGCACAAACTTATTCCTTCTGTATACGCCGGCGTCAACGTGGAACCTAACAGCTTCGGTAAGGAAGAAGCTGTTGGGTACAGCGGGCCGACACATATATCCATAAGGAGCGGGAAACACGCTTCCTCCACAGCAAACACCCATGCTTATGATTTCCAATCACTTTTATCAATACCGTCATTCAAACCCTTAATGATGACAGAATCGAACACTGTGAAGCCAGTGATCATCATCTTTGTAGATGGTGGACCGGACGAAAACCCGCGTTATCGTAAAGTCAAGAACTTTGCGATTGAACACTTTAAAAAATACAACTTGGACGCCTTGTTTATAGCGACTAATGCTCCTGGGCGGAGCGCATTTAACCGAGTTGAGCGTCGGATGGCTCCCCTCAGCAAACGACTGGCAGGCATCATTCTGCCTCATGAACATTTTGGTTCTCATCTCGACGACAAAGGAATGACTACGGATGATGATTTGGAAAAACGCAATTTTCAGCACGCTGGGGAAACGCTTGCAGAAGTGTGGAGAGAAATGAAAATTGATAATTACGACGTTTCGGCGAACTATAGACAACCCGAAGATAGCATGCAGGATCCAGCAGAACCAAATCTGGCGTGGTATAGCGTTCACGTCCGTGAATCGCAATATTTCTTACAGGTTATAAAATGCGCGGATGAATCCTGCTGTTCACCACCGAGAAGTGCATTGAAATCTGTGCTTGCGGATACTTTCATGCCTCCACCTTGCCCAATACTTCAAACTCCAAGCAAGCTCGTAGTACCCAGTTTACTAGACAAAGGAACATCCAAGTTTTCGCCACTTCTTGTGAGGTTGTCCGTTGATCTGTTACCTCCTCTAGAAGGGTTTAAGCAGATGCCTTACGATTTCTTTTGTCCATCTGTACAATCCGACCTGAAGAAAAAAGTATGTCCAACCTGTGGAATCTATTTCACATCTCACAAGAGTGTTCAAATGCACTGTCGTTTCGTGCATGGTAAGACTGTCCCAGACCATTGTGAAACTAGAGTACGGCCACAGCGCCTTGCTGCCAGAAGGGCGAATGAGTTTCTGTGCATTGTGCGTCGTTATGAAACATCGTCTGAGGATGCTGACTGGCTCGACGAAGACGAAGTTGATGCAAGTGGCTTAACAATTCCGGAACCATCTTCGTCTGCACTCCAGATCCCAGTGATGAAAGAATCTGAGTGGCTAGCAAACCCATGGACAGAGGAGCAGTAATTCCAATCGAATTGTTTTTATAGGTCTACTTAGATACTTGGTTAATAGTTGATTATTTTTTAAATTTGTTAAAAATACGATTTTATCTCGAGTAAAATGTTTAATTTCAGTTGGGTTTCCATTTATAATTGCTTTGTCAAAGATTAAAATAAGAATGTTATTTTATTTTAAGAGTTTATTAGTAAAAAAAGCTAAAATAGGAGAATGAAAGATGAAAACAATTGTGTGTAAGGCCAAAAATATATAAAAAAAAAACAAAATACGCATAATCTTGTTTTATTTAGTATTATTACCGTAAAGGAATTAAAACTATAGCAAGTAAAAATCGGTGACATACTTTTTTGCGACTTTAGGGTAAAAATGGTCACTTGAGTGTTACGTAACGTTTAGAGAGATGGGGGGGGGGGGGTACAGAAAAACGTTACTGTGCGTTACACGGGGGGAGGGGGGGGTCAAAAATCTTCAAAAATTGCGTTACGTAATACTTGAACGCTCCCTAAAGAGGAAAATATAATTCATTGGTTTTGTTATATGAGAGCTTGTAATACTATGTACAATGTACATTCATTAGTTGTTGATATGATAGCGTATAGGTACTATCCTATTAGTTTATTTTTGTTAAAAAATAATTATATTTCCGAGCTTAACATAGGGGCAGACAAAATTTATATTCAGTCTGTTCAAATATTATTATATATTATTTATTATAACCATTACTGTTAAAAAAAACCTTTCAATTAGTAAACTTTATTTTGGATTATAATACCTACCAAGTAAATTTTTAACTCTTATATAATTAGCATTAATCATGGTTAAATATTTTTTTTAAATTAAATTTATCAATATTACATCCTAGTAAATAAATATTCACTAATTAATGGAAGCAATTTTTAATTTTAATATGACTCTAAGATTACCTACATACGTATAGAAAACGGTACCTACTGTACAAACAATAAAGTGATAACATACGGCTGTTAAAATAACGTCCATTTCCAACGGTTCGATAAATCACATTAACTAATTAAAATATAATACATTAAATTAATGCTTTAATACAGTATGTAATATTGTAACGGAGTAATCAAAGTAAATGATCCTTAAAATCATTTAATATCAAATATAAATTATATTTATTTAATTTACAATTAGAATTGTATTAATTCATAATATAATTATTATATTGTATCTTCGAGCTTTAAGAACATTATGTGTGTATTATATTATATGTATAACTTATCTTTACTGCTGTGGCTCCGTTGCGTACCTTGTTCCATCAACTTTTCGTTTGTTGGAGGAAAAAAAAACTGCTGCTAATAACGAAACTTTTTTCTTTTAATTTAATTTTTTCTTTTTTTTAACTGTTTTTATATTTTTATTTATTTATTTAATATATAATCTAACTGTCACAACAACACTTATTTATAAACTTGTTCACTTCAACTTCAACAACGCTTATTTATAAACTTGTTCAGTCAGGTTCAAAGGGTACCATTGAAAACCAGCATAAGCTGAATGGTATACCTTTTTGGGACACGCGTTATATATTTTAATGTTTATTATTATTATTATTTTTTTGTTTTGATTTTTTTTATATCCTACTTTTATATTTTTTCTCATGTTTTGGTGTAAATTAGTCATAAGTTTTATAGTAATTAGTCATAAGTTTTATACGTGTCTCAAATAAAAACTTTCTTTCTTTCTTCTTTCTTTCAAAGCCTACCTTTCAACAAACTTAAACTAACCAACTTTATATCAAATTTTGGGAGTTTAAATTCGAGTAGTAGTTCGTACAAGGGTCGTCCGTACCCCTCCTCGACTGCTGCTGTGGTCACCCCATCAGTGGCGGGGCAAGACCTAAATTTGATGTGGGCAAGACAGATTCCGCGAGGCCCTATTCTAAGGCAACCTGAAGCTCTTATTACCTGCTAGTTTTAAAAACTTAAACGGAGATACGTTTTTTACCCTTAAAGCTTTGGTTTCCTTCAAAAGATATTATAAAGCGTATTTTGTATACAAGTAATTACTGCGTTACATACTTATTATCAATTAAATATTTCTTACTTTATGTAAAATAGACGAGTACAGGTACCGGTGTAATTACAAATCACAAAGAAAACAAAAACAAAAAACGTCATTGTTTTCGAGGGCAATCAATATACAGGGTGACTGGTGCATTACTATCGATACTTGAGGACGTGATATTTGACGATCATATATGACAAAATAAAAATTAATATAACATAAATATTAATAAACTTCTAAGTAAAGTTAGCCAAAATCATCACCCTAGCGTTTGTCCCGGTTGTTCGTCCCGCCCAGGGCGGGAGAACCCAGGGTCCGCTTTCCCACTCAGTTTCCTCCAATTAGCCCGGTCTTCGGCATCCTTCTTGTTGAGTCCATTGGCACGCATGTCATCTTGCACGACATCAAGCCAACGTCTTTTGGGCCTTCCTCTACCCCTGGCGCCAGGTAAGGTCATATTGACGCATTTGTGACATATTATGATTTATTCGAATGTCACGTGACTGATAGCGTCACAACCAAAGAAGACGGATTAATGTAGACCGAGACATATAACATATTGTAAGATAACATACAAGAATATTATATTAGGAAAATAAGTAAGGACTTGAAGTTTTATTCTAAAACAATAGGTAAAAAAACTTTTTAAGTCAAACGATTTTACGTGAAACATACATTGCAATGTTTTAGATAAATGTACTAAAGACCAAAAAATAATAAAATAGATACAGTCGTGGGAATTATAAACATATGCACGGACTAGACTAAAATAAAAGCGTGGGGCACGGCAATTGTCTTCAAATTATCGACTCAATGTGCGATAGAAGAATCGTTTAATTCGTCGTTAGGCAGTTGGCCCGCAGACGGTGAGGAAATAACTTACTATTCTTGCTCATGGTAATTACAACTGCCTAATTATAGTGTAACATTACAAAACAAACATTTTAATCAATGATTGTATTTTATTTTGCCCCACGATCGACTTTCAACAAGTAATTAGTAACGACATGACATGGTAATGACTTAAGGATAGGTTAATAAAATCACGATATTTAATCAATAATATTTTTATACGCGACGACGGAATGTGTTCAAAACTTAATGTTATGTCCGTAATAATGGTGAATCCTAATTTATAATTTATTAATATATACATTCTACGTTGCATTGCTGTGATACATAGAAATCGTTTGAAGCCAGATAACAAAGCGCTTCTCGGCTAAGCGTCTGTGGAATTAACTTCGCTGTAATATAATTTCATTTTGTTGAATCTCTCTCGTCTGCTGGTAACAGTGTTTATTGAAATTAAATGTTATATTTTTATGACATATTTTTTAAATGCTATCATTCAAATGTTAATTCATTATGTAGGTACGGATAAATGTGAAAATACATTTAAATACTATTTCTGGGATCAAATATACAATCCTCGTTGATTCTAATTTGAAACAAAAGATTACCTTGTTGTTGTCATTTATACTCATACTTGAGGTTGACGAAATACAGTGCCATTACTTTATATAAATTTGTCACTAAAAATATCTATATTATCTCAATTCTTAATATAATAATACATATTTAAAAATGATTTAGTTTGCCAACAAAAGTAAAATGATTAAATTAATTGTTTAAAAAGTTATGTATTTTTGTATTGGATTAAATTCTTATCTATATTATAGCCCTTGTATATTAATAAAACTTTAACAACTTGATCTCTAATTTATATGGTTGTTTTTCTCATTAGATTTTAAGGACCTTACAAATCATCACGCAGTTACTTACATTATTTTTTTCTGTAAATAAAAGGAAGGTTATTAAGGACATACATATATGTTGAGTCCACTTTGATAATTATTACAAGAACGTTCATAAATTACATTTAATAAATTGGAAAAGATCTTGTTATATAGGAAATTTAGAAAGAATTGTAAAAAAAGCGTGAATAAATTAAAATAATTTGATGAAATAAAAACACACAAAAATGCTTATATGTATATTCATGTTTTATAATATCGGATAAACAATGTAACAAAAATATATTTTAAAGACTTGCGAGTATTTGTACCCCACACCTTTTAAATATTATTGGTTAACAGTGTCCCGTGTAACAAAATAGTGTTATAAATAATAATTATTTGATCATTACGTCATCCCTCCAGCTACTGAGATCATTCAAACATTTTTCCAGTAGTGGGTTTCCTCCTAAACGGGCGACCTGTAAGAAACCTAGGTTGTATACTTCAATTTAAAACAATCATACTTCAATGAATACTATGTGTATATACTTGATTCACCTCAGCCCGAGCTTCTCGATCAAGTTCACTGAGTCTGTTTCTCGTGTACTGTATGCTGCCCGCCTTCTACGACAAAGACATACAGTACTTCTTCAGGTCAACATTACGGGTACGCTGTGGTAAGATACCTGATAGTAATAAAAATATGATCACAAAAAACTTTACTATCACTGAATTAAAATCTGGTTATGTTTATACTTATTTACCAAACAGAGGATCAAGGAAGAAACTTCGTAAGCGGACCTGATATCATGAAACGAGTAAAAAAATCACACGAAGTTCTTTAAACTCTAAATTTTAAATTGATATGTAACTCATCAAGTTAATGAAATAACCAGATGCAATTATGAAGAACTAGCTCTCCGCCCACAGCTAGGCCCGCGTGGAGTTCGGTTATATCGCGTTTCCAAAAGAACCTTTCAAAAGTCCGGGATAAAAACCATTCTATGTTCTTTCTCAAAGTCAACTCTATGTCTGTACCAAATTTAATTAAAATCAGTTCAGTGGTTCATGCGTGAAAGCGTAACAGACAGATAGACAGACAGAGTTACTTTCGCATTTATAATATTAGTAGGGATAATGATTCCCTATTTATCGAAGAGTTACAGTAAAAACTGCTATGATTGACCCACACAAATACGTTCTCGTATGTATACTTACAATTAGTAACTGAGTTTTAGT